ATAAAGCACCAGCAGTGCATGAGAACCCTCCAGAGAACAGGATGAAAGACATTCCAGTCGTGCTGCCTGCCTAACTAAAAATAAACCACATATGATTGCATAGAGACAGTATCAAGATTTTTACACCCATCTTCTGTTGGTTTTAAAGGGACACTTTTCAGATGGAGTTAGTGTTCCAAATACGAAATTCTGCGTGTTCAGGAAACGGTATAATAGCAGTTTTATTGTACCAGTGACAAAGAACTTTGCTGTCCCAGTACAGTATGCAAGAGTCACATGGGGAATGAATCACTGGCAGCTGCAACTATTATCAGAAAAGTGAAATCAACACCATATTTTAGAAACAGGAGCACCATCTACTGTATTTGAGAGCTAGGTACACTTCAAATAGAATTTCCGAAAAGAAAAAGCTCTCGTGGCTCTTAGAAATCAGTTTGGAAACAGTACAAAGTAGTAAGAGGCAAGGAGATGTGAAAATCCAAGCATGCAGAACAACCTCTTGAGAGACATACAGTACATATCTACAAGGTCACAAGAATTCATCCCAGCATCTGGACAGATGTTCCCATCCTGGTGCTGTGGGACTTCACACCCTGCAGCACATAAGCTGTTAAACAGTGTTCCATGCCATCTTACACCACTCTCTTAGGTTCTTGCTGGCTTATGCTAGGCACTGATATGATCACACATATTGTCAAGTTCAAAGGTGAAGAAAGCCAGATTGGAGAATTCCCCAGAATAATCATTGTATTCAGCACATTTACCTGTGTTAGTTATTTTAATCCCTCATAAATCAACTTCTTCTTTGTTCTAAAAGTTTATTTGGTTATTTAATTCACAGTGCTAGCCTTCCTAATCCTGAAATATATGGAAGATTTACAAAAGATTAAAACATAAGCAATATTGGGTTGGTGTTTTTTTTAAAAAAGTAAAAGGCAATTGACACGTGGCAAAACTTGATTTCCCTAGAACACTACTATCCACTTGGTAAGTGGACTCACTACTCAGAAATGGGTCACACCAGTTGCACAATGACCATTTTCTAGGAAGTTGTTTTTTTAAGGATGTGGAAAATGACAAAAAGAACAGAGGTGGGCATATATAAAAGATCCACATTGCTCATGCTATTGTCCTACAAGCTAAGCCTAGGTGTCATAAAAAACCAGGCGGGAAAGCAGCAGAGTTTACAATCAGCATCAAATTGAAACAGCATCAAATGTAAGATGCACTTTTAAGGGACAACTGGAAGCATACACCAAAGCTCCCAATTCTTCCTTTGGAGCTGCAACTTTATTTATCCCATGCTTCGTGTCACATAGGTCACATGCCAGAGGTTCCACACCCATGTGCTCTGGTTTTTCTCAGCAAGAACACAAGGAACTGACAAGATTCCTGTCAATTATTTTGTAGCTGATCATAGCCTTGCTAATTTATTCTCATGATGTTTGTATATAGGTTGTTCTATGCACATAAGGCTCAGGAGAGAGACCTTTGCTGGGGTCTCTGAAGGGAGGATACATTAGATTTTAATTAAATTAAAAAGTCTTCAATGTTATTAGCAGATAGCAATAGGATAACTGTAGGGAAAGCATGTACAGTAGTTCCCACACCTGATATCGAAGTCTGCTAGACTTTCAGCAAAATCAAATTCACTATCACTTGCCTTTCTTTGGAACCCCAGAAACTAAGAATTCTACATTCTTCCTGTACTATGTCTACCTGCTGGGTAGAGAAATAAGTATGGAACAATCTAACAAAGCTACAATTGGGAGAATTCAACAAAGCCTTCCACAATTCATTCTTCCCTTTAAAAAAAAGTTACACACAAACACACAATAGCAGGGGGTTTTTTTTGGGGGGGGGGTGTTCAAACAACTTTTACCCAGTGTGCTATGACTTCCCTATACCAAGTTTATTGTATTATTTTGTATTGTATTAGGCTGAATATGGTATTTTTACATCAATTCTTATGTTTTTGTGTGTGTGTTTGCGCCTTTAACAGTCCGGGTTTTTGTGCTACTTATCTCAATGACCTGTCACATATATTAACGCTAACAAACAAATAATCCTATTCAGTTAATGACATAGGCAGGATTTGTGAATACGGTAGATCTTGAAGAGAAAGAATCTAATAGGAACCAAGACTGGAATTCAATCATAACACTAAATTCTGTGCAAAGTCACATTTGCTGTCTGTTCAGTTTCTGCAGAAGCATGTACCATTGGAACAATGAAAACTGACCAGAATTCTGAAGCTAATGGCACAAAAACCATCATGCAAACAAACCAAAACAAACCCCTTAAGCAAAATCTACTTGTCAGCAAAACAACTGAATCTTAAAAGCCAGCAAACTAAATGTTGTGCAGCCCATCAACTATGCATCATGGCTTTTCAGGTACTCAGCAACTTTTCTAACGTTGGCCCACAACTTATGCACATTTAACTTGTGCACATTCAGCTTTACGCGCATGGCAAAAAATAATAATTTTAAAGGCCGGAAAGGGGGCAGGGTCCTGGGGAAAATGACTTTGGCAATCCCATCTACCATTGAACCCAATGGATTTTGACTATATGCAATTTTGGCATTAGGCATGATCTCTGGAACGTAACCACTGTGTAAATGCAATCTTACTGTATTCTAAATGCAGATGTCATCCAACCAAACTCCTGAATTTTTGTTGTGCTTTTTCCCTTGTTCTTACCCCTTTGTTTTGTATAATATCTAGACTGATTAAGAGTTCTGGAGAATTCAAAAGCTTGCTATTTTCTGACAATTTGGTTGGTCCTCATAAAGGTGCTGCCTTTGCTTTTTAAGCATAATAACCTTACCAAGGCCTCACAATACATGGCTGTTTGGATATCCTACTGAGCTTGGTGACTTGGAAGTGCAGTGGGCCTGTTTTCAACTATTAAATTACTGAAACGAAGCACTACAAAGATTTTTCCAGAGGGAAACTTCTACAGGAAAATGAGCATTGCTACACAGTTAACCGCAAACGGAATGGTAGCTAAAATTCTTAGAATGTCTGAAAGTCAGCTTATTTATGAATTGAAGTGACATGATTGGCACTTAGCAAGTATGTTTGCTACCATTATAATAGAAAAAAATGTTTTTGCTTTGCTAATGCCAAATTTTAAATTTAACTGTCCTCCCTTTGGTAATACTTGTTGCAGCCAACTGGAAATTGCAGGAAAGAGTTCTGTTGCGCTCAGGTCCTGCATGCAGGCTTCCCCATAGGCATCTGGTTGGCCACAGTGAGAACAAGAGTGCCAGATTAGATGGGCTTTTGGCCTGATTCTGTGGGGCTCTTCTTACATTTAGTCTCCCTGCAATGGCACGGGTTTCAACTGGATGAAGTCCCTTTCAACCTAGTAATGATACCCCAAAGGCATGTGGAAGTTCCTTTCTTCCCCGTGTCGTATCAAAAGAATCTGGAAAGGTCCATCATCTAAGCCGGTACGGCATTTTGAATCTAACGGCATTCGGAGTCTAACAGCAGCCAAGCAGATGCTCCTGGGAAGCTTCCAAGCAGGGCACAAAGACAAGAGCCAAGGCATCTGTCGAAGCGCCAGGCACAAAGACAAGAAGGGGGAGAGGAGTTGAAAGAGTGCCACACATCAGCAGCCTTCCAGGGCACTAAGATGGTCACCAGCTGCCTCAAATCCGGCTTGGTCTCTCCAATCTCAGGCAAATTGGGGCAGGGCACCAAAGCAGCGGTGCTTTTTCATGCAGTAGTCAGAGCTATGAACTGTAGAATCGCAGAATCATAGACTCAGAAGGGACGACGAGGGTCATCTAGTCCAACCCCAGCGATGCGGGAATCATTTTGCCCAAACCTTGAGATTAAGTCAAGTCTCCTGCTCTACCAACTGAGCTATCCCACATATGCCTGTTCCATGTATTTTGCTCACACCTGCTTTCCAGTACAGTGGTACCTCGGGTTACATATGCTACAGGTTACAGACTCCGCAAACCTAGAAACAGTACCTCGGGTTAAGAACTTTACTTTAGGATGAGAACAGAAACTGCTCCGGCGGTGCAGTGGCAGCAGGAGGCCCCATTAGCTAAAGTGGTGCTTCTGGTTAAGAACAGTTTCAGGTTAAGAAAGGACCTCCGGAATGAATTGTTTAACCTGAGGTACTACTGTACTGGCCAGGACACGGGTGGCGCTGTGGGTTAAACCAGAGCCTAGGACTTGCCGGTTAGAAGGTCGGCGGTTCGAATCCCTGCAACGGGGTGAGCTCCTGTTGCTCGGTCCCTGCTCCTGCCAACCTAGCAGTTCGAAAGCGCCTCAAAGTGCAAGTAGATAAATAGGTAAACGGCATTTCCGTGCGCTGCTCTGGTTCGCCAGAAGCGGCTTAGTCATGCTGGCCACATGACCTGGAAGCTGTACGCCGGCTCCCTCGGCCAATAAAGCGAGATGAGCGCCGCAACCCCAGAATCAGCCACGACTGAACCTAATGGTCAGGGGGGTCCCTTTACCTTTACCACTGTACTGGGTTACAGCTAACTAATAAAATTATTGGGGGGGCGGTTTTTCTTGTTTCTTTACCCGGCAAGCACAGCCACCCTCTAAAAAAAGGGTCGGTTCTCGAATACTGTACTTTAAAAGTCACGCTGTAATGCGTCTCATGCAATGCGGCAAGAAGAATATAAAGAACGACACCCCCCACCCTCTCCATTTCTCCCTTCAGTTTATATAATCTCCTCATTTGCCCCCCGGGGGGGTGAAGTTGTCACGTTACCCTATTTAAGCAAACCGGGGGGGGGTGCAAAGCGAGCCGTTGCTGAAACGCTCGCGCCGCCCGACGCAAGGCCTCGTCGCGCCTTCGACGGCCTTCCCGAGAAGGTCGCCCCCTAGCGGCCGGCCCGGGGCGCTGCAGCCTCCGCCATTGGCAAACGAAGCCCCGCCCTCCGCCAGCGCTTCGCGGCCCCTCGGCTGAGCTATTTCTAGGCGAGCGTCCCGACCGCCGCCCCCTCCCCCCGGCCGCCGCTCACCATCATGGGGACTCCATACTGTAGCGTCTTGCTCTTCCGCAGCGCTCGCATGCCGACCATGGCTGGAGCGGCCCAGTATCTCGCCTTCTTGGGCCGGGGGGGGGGGGAGGCCGTTCCTGTAGCGCTTCCGGCGTCCTACCGAAACGCTCGTCCCTCGGATCCCGAAGTCGGGAGCAGCCGAGTTCCGCCGTGCGAAAAGGGAAACGGGGGTTGTGCGGGGGGGGGGGAGGCGGAGAATAAAAATAAAAATTTCCACTCTCAAGGACTCCTCGAATGGGAACCCGGTTAGCGGTCCAGATGCCTGAAACCGACGGAAGGAGGACTTGGCAGGCAGAAATTCGACGGGTTCAGTTTCCCCGAATTTGGAGGCAGGCAAATAAAGGACATAATTAGTAATTAGTGCTGCTTGTGTCCTCGATTTCACCGAATCTATTTAATTCCGCCGCTAATTGGTTCCATCCTGAAAGCACATTTCAGCACACCACAAATGTATAAACTAAAGCATACGCTGACGCCATGCGGACGGGTTATTTCGGATCTTTACCCTAAGCATAAGAAATAAGAACAAGTCCCATGTAATCATTAGAAATTGGGGCTTCCACATCAGATGGGTGTTGTTTCCAGGCAGATTATCCCAGTGTTTCTTTTTCTAGACTTTTTTATATCTGTGTTTATATCTATCTCAAAAACTCATTATCATATATGCTTGGCAGCAGTGACACTAGCTTTAAAGAATGAAAAAATGACATACTAAATTAGAGGCTGCGAAAGGAAAATAGATCTGAGAAAGTCGTTTTTTAAAGCTGTTATGCCCAAACCTAGACACAGCCCCCCCCCCCCCCGGTAATGCGACCATCTCAAAATTGGCAAAGCAGATTTGATCACTGTGCTTGCGTTTATCCACTAGATGGCATATTCTTTATACCAAATGTTAAAGCAATACCTTTTCTCCTTGCTATGTTGCAGAGAATTAACAGCTACTGCATTTTAAAAAATGGAATGAAATCTTGTCTTCCATGCAGGCTTCTGGATTACACAGAGCTCTGCATCAAACAGAATCAGGAGAGTGTTAAATTATCCTGTTGTTGTTGTTGTTGTTGTTGTTGGCGGCATCCATCTGTCACCAGAGACAATGGAGTGCACCTCTGGGGGTGAAGTCAAACTGCTGCGTTAGCAGCACCAAAGTGATCTCCTTGGGGCACAAGCCTGGACAGTGTGTATGGAGGTCCTGGGCTGCCCAGATGATAACACACACACCCCTTGGCCTCACTGATGTGGTCTAAAGGAAAGCAGAGCAATACGTTTCGCACCAGCTTGGCTGTAAGAACTGCCCAAAGGAGGTGTACAAGGCACCATCCAACAGTCTTAGGGATTCCACTCCAGATTTATGTAGGGTTTACTCCTTAGCCTTCTGTTGTCCTGAAGATACCCTGCAAGGCAGCACAGATTCGGATCAGAGCTTTCCTTCTCCTAGATGGGCTACCTTCCCAGGTTGACGAGCCCCATCTGCCCCTCACTTCCCTCTACAGCACGTGCAGAAACCATCTTCTTGACTGTTGGACCCGCTATTAGTCTCATGTGCTCAATCTGCCAGAGCTTGTCTTCGCATGCAGGGGAGGTTCCTAACTCATGGAGGGTTTGAGACCCATAGGCTACCCTCACCTGGTTTAGCCAGCTTTGTCCATCTTTCGTCCCCCCCTGCACTCAGCTCTCACTTGTAGCTCTTAGAAGCTGCCAGCATGTGACAGTGGCACCAGCCACATCCCAGGAATGGATATTATAGATTTGTACTGTTTCAAAATAAACCAGTGGTTAAAAAGTAATAATACTCCAAACACTGTAGGGTTGGTTTGTTTTGTACAGCAAATATAGAAGTGTAGAGGATGAAGAGTAACAACACTGCAACATCATATACAACTGCGATTACTACTCACTAACAAACAAAATTGTTGATGCCTTATATACATAAAAGGGTCTATCACAGTGATCTGTATAGAAAAAGAACTGTGTTGAAACAGCAGCAAGCCACAAACTCCACCTTTTCTTAAGGTGCTGAACAGACCAGAGAGAGGACAGGAATATCCAGTACCTGGTTTGTTTCCCCAGTTCACTGAACTCTAATTCACTGAAGTTGTCTGCCTGAGATGTACAGACCTTGGCTTAACTTTGGCTTCTGTTTTCTAATTGGATGGAAGTTGATTTGAAGGAAAGCGCATCAAACAGGAGTAATTCTCAAGAAGCTATAGGATGCCTATGGATTGTGGCTAACATAATGTGTACTCGGCTTCAAACACCAATGGTGGGCACACACTGAAGCTGGAGTGCATAGTAACATGTACAGTGGTACCTCGGGTTACATACATTTCAGGTTACATACGCTTCAGGTTACAGACTCCACTAACCCAGAAATAGTAGCTGGGGTTAAGAACTTTGCTTCAGGATGAGAACAGAAATCGTGCAGCAGCAGCAGCAGCAGGAGGCCCCATTAGCTAAAGTGGTGCTTCAGGTTAAGAACAGTTTCAGGTTAAGAACGGACCTCCGGAACAATTTAAGTACTTAACCCGAGGTACTACTGTACACGACTTTAGGCTGCAATCCTATGCAGACTATCCTGGGAGTATGTTCCACTGAACTCAGTGTGGCCTATTCCTGAATGGACATGCATAGGATTGTGCTGTTAAAGAACTTCTGTGCTTCCCTTCAATTAAAAAAAATCATGACAGTTTGCATAATTAAAACAATAAAATTAAACAGAACAAAACAAAACAAAAAACCTCAGTAAAGACCACACCATATAAAACAGCAAATAAAAGGCATTAAATGTCTTAAAACCAGAACTGTTAGGGAAAATTGAAAGGGCCTAGGATCTAACCTTCTGGAAAATTTCATTAAGATCAGTCATGTAGTTTAAAGATAACTGTTATGTTTTATCTGCCATTGAATTTCTAAGACAGCCATAAGCAGTCAAGCACTAGTGCTTTGAGGGGACACATTAGCCCAAAGAGTGTGTGTAGAAATAGCTTTTATAGCCAGGATAGAGATAAGCAGCTCAGAATCAACCCTGGTGTTTTGTTAACTCCTCAGAAAACACTCAGCTGCATTGCAGCAAGAACAACAGGACTGCAGTCTGGTATGAATACCAAAGGCCTTCTTCAAACACATTATTGTACAGCATGCATTGGATTGGGCTGCCCATCATCTTTTCTCTGCATGATCTTCATGTGCCTGGAACCAGAGGGGCAAGTATAACATATAATTTCTGCAGTTTATCTAAAGCTTTTTAAAAAGACAAATCCACCCATGAAACAGAAAAACAGCTATGGTTGCTTCCACACAGTGTTTTGTTTGGAAAAGCCATCACCCAGTCACATTTTATGGAGAATCCAATCAAACAATGATTACACAAATATGTCTCTACATATTCAAAAAGATAGGGTGGGAATTACCCAAACTCTTCTCCAAGAATAGTATGGTCCGGCTGAGGACCCTTTGAGGTGAGACCAGGTGAAAATGTGACAGCTGTTTGTTTCACCCAGACCTTTCTGCAGCATCTGCATACTGCTGCTTCTTTAAGGTGTCTAGAGGTACTTCCTTTTTGAATTTGTTCTCGCCTAAAGGTGAAGAGAGGATACTAAAGGCAAGCAGAGAATGTTTCCTTGCAACTAACCAGAGCAAAGATGTCAAGAAATGGTAAGTTGCTTGAGTGACTGGATCTAATATACCATAAAGGCTTCTTTCCAAGGGAAAGCAACTGTCTTATTGAAAGGAGGCATGTTGGAAGTTTTCCATTTCGAAATTTCTTCCACTTTGTTCAGTTGGCTTCTGGATCATTCCACTGAATTGTCACAGAGCATGGGGGGCTATTACCATCATTCAGAATTGAAACTGATGCAAACCAGCTCATAAAAATTATTTTCTGAGAAATGTTTTAGTGTGCATTGTTATCTATATTTTTACCAGTGTAAGGGCAGCAGACACCCAGAGGAAGTTAGTTCCATACACTCAACGTTGTCCAATTCCCCAGCTAAAACTGGCCAGTGTTTTCACCCAGTGTCCACCACAATACGGGCCTGATACACACTGTAGTGCAGGATAGTGGTTAGAATAGTATTCAGTATGCCTCAATACCAGTTACTGAGGAACACAAGTGCGAGAATGATACCTTGCTTCCCACAGGCATCTGTTAACAGCAAAACCAGGCGCCTTCATCTGCCCCAGCTGCAACAAAACACGTCTCTCCTGTAGTGGTCTCTACAGCCACAGCAGGCACTGTGGCTCTCCAATGGTTTGACTTTACCCTTGATGGCACACTCTTTCATTGTCTTTCAAGACAGATGGATGCCAACATGCTATGTCATGCTGAGCGCACACGCACACACAGAGAGAGAGAGAGAGGAAGGAAGGAAGGAAGGAAGGAAGGAAGGAAGGAAGGAAGGAAGGAAGGAAGGAAATGCAGCATACAGATATAAGGAAATTAATGTTTGATGATGTACTCTTGGGGTATGATCAACAGAGCTGCCTGCAGTTTTGGTTTTTCCTTTGTCGGCATGGCTATGGGTGTTGTCACAATGAGCTCCTGCATTTCAAAATTCACCTCTAGTTTATTGCTTCTAGGTCAGAGGGCATAGGATGGCAGCCTGAGATTCTTAGATCAGGTATGCTGACACCAGGTGATTCATCTCTGTTCTAATGCAAGTTAGATTCAGCAGCAACTTCCTCTTCATCTACATCTATTTCACCCTTTTTTGAAAGCCTTGGTAGCTGCCTCTTAAGTGCCTCTCATCATGTTTACCAAAAGCTCCCTGATTTTTGCATGCACAAGTTAACTAAATGAGGCCCACTTGAAAAACGCACTTTGAGCACTGACAAGCATTTAGCATTCTGTGCTGGCAGAATGTATACTTTTGAGGGTCAGTGAGGGCACAGGAGTAGGTACATTATGTCCATTTTCCAAATGAACCAAGGCTGGCAATATACAAGGCAGGGAGCTAAAGAATGAAATGTCACTTTGGTCCAGACACCAATCACATCACCCCGGAAACTGATCTTCGTCATGCTAATGGGTGATTGAAATACGAATACAACAGCAGAAGAGAAAAAATAAATAGCACCACAGGGAACAAAAGGGTAGAAATAAAATTGAGGTGATTGTGTGTGTAACTGAACCAAATAAATCTATGTATACACGCAGCAGTAATGGGAAATTAATGTTGCATCAGGTCAAGTGAAGAGATAATAATCACTAGGCTTTTGTTTAGCAAATTGCAAAAAAATATTTAGGGGACTCAGAGTCCCATGGGGAGTTGGGCAGCAAAAGCCAAACCCCAATTTTTACATCAATTTCTAGAATTATTTTTTTAAACAAAAAGCCTTCTTCTGCAATCAAATGCAAAACAGAAACTCAGATAATGAATGCCTGCCATAATACTAGGAACAATTTGCTGCTATATCTCACCCCAGATTCCTCTTTCCAAGTGGATATTCTGCAGCAAGCTTTCCTCAGCCCCACCCAGGCAGGACTAAAGCCATGCGTAACAAGCCATTGCATATAATGCAGGTCACACGGCTGTTTGTTGGCGGAGATGAGACCTGGGAATGTCAGAGGAAGCTGCATTCAACGGCTGCTAACTCTCCAGGGCAATAAAGGGGCAACTCAGCCCTATAATCCCCACCTCCCACCCTGAGGAGCAGCTCTAGGAATTTCAAAATAATGACAATCACCATCATGCTGATTCACATAAATATTGCTCAATGAACTCAGGAGAAAAAAGACTGTGTGGTGCCAGTTTGGAGGATAAACAGAGAGCAGCAGACAATGTGGAGTCAGCAGCCCTGAACAGCCACAGGAAAAAACAGCATGTGACTGATTCTGGGCATGGCCATCTGCAACGGCAGAGGGTCAACTCATATTCAGTCTAATAATTACTTCCTAATTCAGATAGCATTATTTTTTTAAGTGACAATTTATTTAGACCACTTCTATACCACTTAATGTATAAAAATATAACTCTAAGTGTTGTACAGAAAGGAGCTTATATTGGAGAGTTTATGCAGTGTGTGTGTGTGTGTGTCCATATATAGTATAGGTTCCATTTTCCTCAGAGACTGCGGTCACTTCCAGATGGCCTGTTTATTGAGAATTCATGATTTGCTTGGACAGATCCTAAATACAGTTCTCCACATTTCTGCAGCAATCTGCAACTAAAAAAAAAAAAAAAGTCCTCATAAAAATTCGTTAGGACTAGTATACACATTTTCAGGACGCAGTTGTGACTAATATACACATTTTTCAAGACATTTTCTCCAGTATGGTCCATTTCTGCATGTTATTTTCATAAGCGTAAACATGTTTATAAAAAAATTTCCCTACTATATGCATTTTTGCTTGGAGAACTGCATTACAAAATTTGGAGAAGTATGAATTTCAAAGCACACTTGCACTTTTGTTTGCGGTGTTGATTCAAAGTATGCTAGTTAGGTGGTTGCTCATCAAAATGCAAACAAAATCAAATTTCCACCCCATCCCTACTTATGAGTAAGTTATACTGCAACACTGCCAAGATCAGGCTATGGGAGTTGAAGCCCATGAGCACGTGAATTTCCAGCTATCTCCAGAACCGACTTCCTGGAAATTCCTCCTGGGACCAATTTAAGGTGTTTATGTTGACATTTAAGGCTTGCTCTTCAAATATCTGAAAGAATGGCTCCTTCTAGACCTGACATCCCCAACCTTTGGCCCTCCAGATGTTTTGGACTACAATTCCCATCATCCTTGATCACTGGTCCTGTTAGCTAGGGATCATGGGAGTTGTAGGCCAAAAACCTGGAGGGCCGCAGGTTGGGGGTACCTGTTCTAGACCAACCTGCCCAGAGACCTCCAGGGAAAGCCCTGAAAGTGGTTCCTGCATGTAATGAGGTTTGTGGTGAAGGCCTGCTGGTGAATTTTCTTTGCAGTGAACTTTGGAGCGGCCTCCCTCTGAGGAGTGCCTCATCCCCACAATGATTTTCATTTGGCACCCAGTGAGGACGTATCTCTTTGCCCAGGTTCTTTGGGCAGGGTTGCGGTGAATTGGGCACGCTTATGTTTTTGCCGCCACTATTATATTTCATTTGTCTTTTGAACTGTGCCTTCTTGTTGTTTTACGTTTACAGTTTTTGTAGTTAGTGGCATCAATGAGTCCCATTAGCAGAAGCTCTGTGGAAGGACTTCTACTTGCACTTCAGGGTTCCCCCCCTTCTCCTCCCACTCTGTGCCCCACAAAATCCATAGAATCCTAGAATTGTAGAGTTACAAAGGACCCTGAGGGTCATCTAGTCCAACCCCCTGTAATGCAGGAATCTCATCTAAAGCATCAATGACAGATGACCATCCAACCTCTACTGAAAAACCCTCTGGTGGTTCAAGGGGATCAGGAAAGCCCCCAGAACAGGACTGAAGAGGGGAGTTGTTCTATCAGGCCAGCTGAAATGTTTCTTTCTCACAAGTTGAAAAGCCTAACAGTGTGTGTGTGTGTGTGTGTGTGTGTGTGTGTGTGTATTTCCACTTCGGAACCTGTGGTTGGATTAAAAGTATTAAAAATATTTTTTTCAATTAAAAATTTGCAGTCCGCCATCAAGATTCATCTGTCATTTTTTGACACTCCTCGTACTACAAAGAAAAGCTTTAGGATTTATGAACATAGGAAGCTGTGTTATACCGAGGCAGATCACCTAAGCTCAGTTCAGTGGTGCCTTGGGTTACGAACTTAATTCATTCCGGAGGTCCGTTCTTAAACTGAAACCATTCTTAACCTGAGGTGCGCTTTCGCTAATGGGGCCTCCCGCTGCCACCACCATGCCGCCGTGTGATTTCCATTCTCATCCTGGGGCAAAGTTTGCAACCTGGAGCAACTACTTTGGGGTTAGCGGAGTTTGTAACCCACAGCGTTTGTAACCCACAGCATTTGTAACCCAAGGTACTACTGTATTGTCTACACTGTCAGTGGCTCTCCAGGTTTCAGACAGGATGTCTCTCTCAGCCCTACCTGGAGATGCCAGAGATTGAACCTGGGACCTTGTATGGAATGCATATGCCCCAGGGCTGAGCAATGGCCCTTTTCTAAGCATCAGAACCTGAGCAATAACTGATGTCTGCACTCAGGGGCTAGTGTGCACTCAGGCTGAAACCCCTTTACTAGGGTTGCCATATTTCAAAAAGTAATAATAATAATAATAATAATAATAATAATAATAATAATAAATAAAAAACCATCATGAATTTCTTAAGGAAATTCACCAAAATCTACACTTTCGACATAGGTTGCGATTTTCACCAGGACATGTTTCCAATGGGAAATTCTGGACATATGGAAACCCTACCTTTACCACTAGGAAAGAAAATGAAGCTTGTACAGGCTTGTATTTAATGCAGCAGCACTGAGTAAGAACCCTGTCAGCGCACGAATTTACGCTGGAGCAATTAGACTTCTCTGCATCCTGCCCCCCTCCCCCGATTTAGGGGAGCATGACCATTTCATCCTCACTGGGTATCAAGCTAAGAGGGCACTGCAAGGAGTGCTGCAACAATGAAAAACCACAGAAGATGAAAGGCGGCCGGAGGGTAGGATTTGGTGTTGCACAGGGTGCCGCTGAAATTAAAAACCCAAAGTCTGCCACTGCCCCACACATGCAGAGGAAGATGAACTGATGCAAGGCAGCTTACTTTGTTCCTATCTAGCCTGGGCTGCCTTGGACCATTTGCAATCTTGCCACTCCTCCACTGCATCTCACCCTATGGGCTCTTGTTAGCATTTGAAGATTTAATTTGGGGTAAAAAATGGAAGTCTTCACATAAGACGTCTCAGTGGTGTAACTAGCAGTGGAGACCAAGGGGTCTTGCCCACAGAGCTGCTACATAGACGGCATTTTCTCTCGCTTAAAGCACTTTGCCAAAGAACGAGATATTGGGGGGGTCACAGTACAAAGCTCACGGAAAAGGACATTTTGGAATGCTGGGAATGAACAAAACCATGCTAGGTATGATTAAGGAAAGGATTGGAAGGAAGGAACCAACACGTCATTATATAAATCAGGGGTGGGGAGCCTTCGGCTTGGGGGCTGAATGTGGCCTTCTAGGTCTGTCTGTTCAGCTCTCAGGGCCCTCCCCAGGAGCGATGCTGCACACTCTCTTCAAGGGCTTTTGCCTGGCTGGAATGTGCCCTGGAACTGTGATGCTGCCTCTTCCTTCCTGGATGGAGGGTGGTGATGTATGCATGAGTGCATATATATATGAAACCTATGGCTTTTGCATGACTGGCAGGTAACCTGCTGTAGAAGAAGAAGAGTTTGGATTTGATATCCTGCTTTATCACTACCCAAAGGAGTCTCAAAGCAGCTAATATTCTCCTTTCCCTTCCTCCCCCACAACAAACATTCTGTGAGGTGAGTGGGGCTGAGAGTCAGAGAAGTGTGACTAGCCCAAGGTCACCCAGCAGCTGCATGTGGAGGAGCGGGGACACGAACCCGGTTCACCAGATTACGAGTCCACCGCTCTTAACCACTACACCACACTGGCTCTCTGTACACAGGCACTGCCCACCTTTGCCTCTGGAATGTACAGTTCCATTTGCCTTACCTTTTTTTTTTAAAAAAAAGCCAAACCTAACCTATTTTCAGCTGCTTTCAGCCCATTGGTCTAGCCACCTCAGTACAGTGGTACCTTGGTTGTCGAACAGCTTGGGTGTCAAACAAATCGGCTCCCGAACACAGCAAAACCAGAAGTGAGTGTTCCAGTTTGCGGACGTTTTTTGGAAGCCGAACGTCTGGCGTGGCTTCTACAGCTTCCGCTTGAGTGCAGGAAGCTCCTGCAGCCAATCGGAAGCCGCACCTTGGTTTTCAAACTGTTCCGGGAGTCGAATGGACTCCCGAAACGAAATAAGTTCGACAACTAAGGTACCACTGTATAGTGTATTCTGACTGCCAGTCTTAGACAGAGGTCTTTACTACCTGGATATGCCAGGGATTGAATTTGGGACCTGATTGTGTGGGGAGTGCAGATGGAGCAACATTTCCCTATGAAGAAAGTCTTAAGTGGTGCTTTTGTTCTGTTGTGAGCACCTGCCTCCACTTAGGTACATATTCAGGACAGCTCCATGCTGGGCTCAGGCTGAAGGCTTCATGAGAGCCTATCTCAGAAGTTACTATATTGCAGTCATCCTCAGTCGGAGCCTTAAATAGGAGCTGTGACTCTGTTTTGGTAGCTAGCTCTGCACTGGCAGTTACAATCCAGCCACAGATAGAGGGACACAGGTTCCTGGATTAATGACCTGAGATTAAACCCCTGGATTTAAAGGCCTGAGAACCTCTGCTCAGAAAGGAGTTACAAACTTGACTATTGTGTGTCTTCCTCTCACTTGCTCTAATAAATAAATAAAAAGTCAGACTCACACATTCATATTTTTTTTAGATTAATTTTGCTATTGTAGTTGAAGGGTAACAAGTCCTTCGGTCTCTTATACAATATTCTAACTCACAAAATAATCATAATAATCATAATCTGCGGCGGTAGAAGGGCAGCACCTTTCATTTATCCTTCAGATGGTTTTTAGAACCTAGTGATGACAAAAAGAAAGAAAACTGAGGAGATAAGAGAATTAACTGGAGCTTGTTGCTGGTCTTGGGGTGAGAAAGGTAAGCTCTGATTTTGGTACTTAAAAGAGGTGCACTATGGGTAAGTTGCCACCTCAGAAAAACAGGAGAGAAGGTGTTTTTGTGGTCACTGCTGGAGGAGGCAGGGGATTAAAAGAGTCCCAAGTAAGGGACTTCTCCGTGTGGCTTCCCTTCAGGCCTGCTGTGCCACATCCCCATGATTCCAGCAGTTTTTGTTTCGTTTTGTGTATTTAAAATCAAAGAGTACCACCTAGCCTCAGGAGCCTAAACCCCACACTCTTTGATGGAGTTCTGGAGTGACGCAGCTGAGAAACAAGCTGTCCTTTAAAAAAGAGGCAAGGGTGTTCATCTTCTCCTTGAGAGGCAAGACTGTCCAGTGTCCTTGGAGAAGGATGTCAATGGCAAGTGACCAGGCAATGGGGCAGCAGAGGCAGAGGCTCAGCAGGGCAGCTCAGCCAGGCACAGTTCAGACTCTTGTGTGTCTGCAGGTCCGTGAAGGGCCTGAGGCGGAGGCCGCTGCGGAAGTGGACGGGGATTCCTCGTCGGTGGTGTCTCCCTGCTCTTCCTTGTGGAGGCCGAGGCTGATGTGGCTCTGCAGGGCTGCTGGAGTCAGCCATTCCTTGGGCAGGCAGCTTTGCAGGAAGGGAATACAGGAGCTGAAGTAGGCCAGGCGGTTCACCCAGCGGGGGATTTCCTTCCCACACAGGATCTGGGGGAAATGGACAGAACAACAACAACATCAACAACAACAACAACAACAACAACAACAACAACAACAACAACAGGTAACCGTTATATCATAGGTGCCTGGTGAAAGATGATTGCTCCTCACATGGTCACCACGCCATGCCTGTTCATGTTTCCAGGGGTGGGGAGCATAGCTGTCAACTTTTCCCTTTTCTTGCAAGGAATCCTGTTCAGAATAAGGGAATTTCCCTTAAAAAAAGGAAAACGTTGACAGCTATGGTGGGGAGGCGGGAGAGAAATGATGCCACGTATCACTGCAATGTTCTATTGTGGCAGTGAAGCACACAGACCACGCGGAAGGTCACATAAACCCCGAAAGCAAAGGGAAAAACACTTGGCAAGTTGGCATTTGTGATTGGGGGTGCAGTCAGGTAATTTGAGACTTTGGACTTAATGGTTTCATGGGGGGCACTCTTTAGATCAGGAGATCTAACCTTTGATTTGTGAGTCTCCCCCACTCATAAGATTTTTTTTCTGGACACCCCCCCCCCACCGCAAGACCTGCTGACTTTGGCGACAGCAACTGCAAAAAGATTTTAACGAAAGCAGACGCTGTGCTGGAGTGAGTGGGATGCAGCAACCTGATGAGCATACAGCTTACCCTTCCTGGTCATTAGATCGATCACGTCATGAGCAGAGCGAAGGTAATAACCATAACCCCCTCCTCAGCGTAGCTGCATGCTTCAGTTGAGGAATGGGTGGCTGTCTGTCTGTCTCTGTGTGTGTGCATGTGAGGGTGATTGTGCCATAGCTGCCAACTTACAGATTTGAAAATAGGGGACCAGCAGCCTCGAAAATAAGGGATCAGCAGCCAAAATAAGGGATTTTCCGGGCACAGGTATGTTCAACTTCTGAGCCCCTCCAAGCCAAAGGCAGAAAGCCCAGCCAGCAGCCAAACGAAGCCTCATCAATAAGGGACAGCAGCGGGACATGGCACTGGGATAAGGGACTGTCCCGCCAAATAAGGGACACTTGACAGCTATGGCTTGTGCAAGAGTTCTATGTCCACCCTTGCAACTGGCAGGTGGACTCCCGAAGGTTGGCCAAAGGTGAAAGTGGCCTTCAGGCCAGGAAAGGTTCAGTACTCCTGTTTTGGAGTGTGTGTACTGCTTCTCTTATTTTAAATGGGCACTGCTTGCCCTGTTGTGTTAGGGGGCCTTCCTGCTCAGTTTGCTGAGCAGGGCTCTGGACTTTACAGTTTTGTCCTGGCAAAACCAAAACTGTGTAATCCCCTTATATGGAAGATTCCTGAGAAATAAAGTGTATTCATCACTTCATTGAAATATGAACATGCCCACATACCACCAGAATACAGGTCTAAAGCTGGATTTGTTCTACATCTACTGCAGGCAGTGGGGTCAAGGAAGGGAAGACCATGCACTTCCCTGAAGAGGGAAACAGAAGGCCTACAAGAAGCAACAAAACAAACTAGGCAAGTGGCAACAGGCCATAAAATCCATTCTACACACAAGCTCTAGGGACAGAACGGCCTTCATCTTGCAGCGCTGGGAGAGCCTAGATGAGCATGGCAAATGAGCAGGAGTGGAGAGGCAAGCCCTGCAGTGCCTGCTGTGAAACAAGATCCCACGGCGAGAAAAGGGAGAGCTAGAAAGCTTCTGAAACCAAGCCAACAGTAGCTGGCCTAGAGACCTCTGCAGTCATCTGACTTTCTGCTTGGAAGTTGATCTAAAGAAGGTAACATCTCTGCCTGTTCTAGGACTGTGATTTTGTGGAACTAACGTAGGCCTGCCAGATCACCTCCTGGCTGGGGCTTCAGTTTCTATAGAACAGGCCTGAACAACTTCTTAACCAAAGCTAAAGTGTAGCACCCTGCTTGTGGTTAACGCTTAGCTGGAATGAAATATTCAACGCAGCAATAGAGAAATTAAAATAATAATTTATTTGTCAGACAAATAAATGAGAGGCACAGTGGTATATGGTTACCAAGCTCTGGCCTGGCCTCCTGCCATTATGGCCAGCACTTATATTCCCTCAGCCCAGCCCCCTTGCTCCTCCTTTGGCTGCCTCTGTCCAATCAGCCTGGTTGAATTTCCTATTGGCTGATTGCTATAACCAATCCTAAAAGATACACCCATTTCCTATTGCCTTTTATGGGATACAAAAAGCTATATATTCTTCTATCTATAAATGACAAATAAGTAGTCATATATCTTACATTTGTCTCAACAAGGAACCTTAATTACCAGCTCACCTCTTGCCCTCCTTGCCCTACTGCCCTCCAAAACAGATGGTTAATAGTTTTAAATTTTTATCTTAAACAGATGTCAGAGATCTTGGGTTCACATTCTCATGCATCATCAATGAAAGATCTCCTTTTTGGAGGTCTTTAAACAAAGGCCTGACAACCATATATCAGGAGTGCTCGATGGCGTCTCCTGTCTGGCAGGGGGCTGGGCTCGTTTGCCCCTCTGGTCTCCTACAGCAATATGACTCTATGAAATAAGAATTTAACATTTCTTTCTTTCTAGGATCCTTTGCATAATTACATTTAAGCCAGTATATTTCATACATTATCATAGATAGCTTTTTAGAAGAATAAACCTTCTCAAAATAAAAAGGAAGGAACAGTTTATAGCCTCAAAATAAAATAGGGGGGGGAAAAAGCCTCTTATTCCCCTTCTCCAGCCAGTTGCTTTCTTTTCCATTTGCTCTTGGCCTTTAACCTTAGGAAGATATGGCTCAAGTTTTAATGGGAGGCACTATTTACCAACTCTTAATTATGTAGGGTCAGTGTAACCTTGCTCTCAGCCTGTAATTCCCTTTTTACGACTTTGAGAATTGTTTTCTGCTATAAATCAGGGGGGCCTCTTGTCCAGGAGGATAAACATCTTGCCAAAGTACTTAGGCAGCTGGTCTTCTGCCTGGCATAAAACATTTGAAAATCTTTAAGCTCATTTTAAAATACAGACCCTAATCAAACTATAAGCCTTGATAAAAACACAGGCTATGATTAGATGCCTCAAAAGCATCTGACCAGTCATGCCTTGTGGTCTGTGTGACACAGAACATAGGTCAGAAGCAGAAATACTTCTGAATACTAGTTGTTGGAAACCATGGCAGAGAAGAGAGTCCTCTTGGGCTCAGGTTCTGCATATGGATTTCCCACAGGCATCTGGTTGGCTGGCTGCTGTGAGACCAGGATAGTGGACTACATGGGCTATTGGCCTGATCCAGCAGGCTCTTGTGTTCTTATTGTGAGGTGTCATACACCAAATCAGACCATTTCTCCATTGAGCTCAGTATTTTCTTCAATGACAAGTAGTGGCTCTCCAAAGTTCCAGACAGAGGCCTAACTTGGCCCTCTCTGGAGATTCCACAGATTTAACTTGGGACCTTTAGCAGGAAAAGCATGTGCAACAACATGTCTCAAACATGCCCCCTGGTAAGCTATGGGGGGCTTTGTAGGGCAAATGTTGTGAAGGCCTAGTCTAGATTGTAAGAAATGGCTTAGAACCAGGTTACCTCAAAAACTGCCTGCTCCCCTACAAAACCAGATTTGGAGACCTTGCTGTCTGTCCCATCCACACAGGAGAGTGGATACAAGAGGCAGAGCCTTCTCAGCAGTGGCCCCACACAGCGGCAATTCACTAGGCTCCCTCCCTGTCTTTCCGCACTTTGAAGGGAAGCCAGCTTTTAATAGGTGATCACTGTTTTCTTTGGATGTTTGATGATGTTTTTGCTGAAGTTTTAATATTATTGCTTTAATGATTGCTGTTTTTATGTGTATTCCCCCCCCTCTTACCTTGTTTTTTCACTGTAAGTTTATTCGATTATTAGTTTTTAAAAGTAGAATGGGTATAAATTCAAGTAGGCTGCTGTGGTGAGTCAAAGTTCTTCAGGCTCTGGGCTCCAAAAATTTAAACCTGCCCCTCTGAATAGAGCAGGGAAGCTCAACAATGTGAATAACTGCAGCTTAACCCAACCTTCCTCAGCCTGGTGTCCTCCAGATGTTTTAGACTACAACTCCCATCACCCCTGAGCATTGGCCATGTTGGCTGGGACTGATGGGAGCTGGAGTTCAAAACACCTTGAAGACACCAGGCTGGGGAAGGCTAGTCTAGCCAATAAGGGCTCAGAGAAGCAAGCCTGACACCCTTGCAATATGTATGAGTCCCAACACTTCTGCGATCCAAAGAGCTTCGTTCTTTGGTTGAAATGCAGTTCTGCTTTTTTATGCATGAAAGTCCTTGAGATGAAGATTTTTTAAGTACAGGGAGCAGCTGCAGGATGACAGGGAGGGTAACAAGTGGCTCTCTGGGGAAGGCTTGGTTATAATTAAGACTAAGATTACTGGTGACACTTGAGAATAATGGCTTTCACTCTGAATGGATGAACAACTGTAAGTCATCTTACAGTAAGCTGCAAGTTTACTGCACTGGCAGAAAATGGATTTTCTCCCCCTATCCCAGGAGGTGTTGCTACATGGCCACTGTCAGAACAGCCACAATTAATGGCTAAAGGAGTATTATGATTACACTGTGCTAGATATAAGATGTTATGTATTACAGCTTGGTATTGACCTTGAACAAGTGATGTGGGAAAAGCTGATCTGGCACCTACTGGCCTTGTGCTTACCAAACTGTATTAAAAACAAGGCCTGTAACTCTTATAGATATAATAATGCAGCTGAAGTTCAGAACTGGAGAGTGCAGAATATGAACTTTCCCAGTCTGGAACTTCCAGATAATCCCAAACCCTTCCAACATTCAGGCTTAGTTCATAATTACATTAGCATCAATCACGCTCATTGCTGCAGCTGCCCCCTTCCCTTGGCCACTGAAACTTTGCTGGCAGTGGTGGCAGCAAGACTTCTGTGTCAGCTGTCATTAGGCCACAGCACCATGTTAGGAACCATATCCACGGCAAAGTGCCATTTCCCAGGGCTTCTGATTCCTTTCCTATTGCCACCACCACCACACCAGTGGGACACAGCACATGATTCCGGGATTGTCCCAGGAATATTGGGCCACTTGGAGAGCATGAGAGGGCCCTCATACAGGATTCGGCTGCAAAAGTGAAACCTCCCAGCTTGTCTTTTAGAGAGACATTGCACAACAAAGTAGGTGGAAATTGGGTACCACAACTTGCATGAGTGAAACTGCTTTCTGCTCATGCAAAACTACTACAGAGTAGTATGGCTAGTGCCCATTGAGACTGGTGGAGCGGAAGGCAAGGAGGCCAACAGTAGGTGGAGCCAGAGCCAATGACAGCAGAGCCAGCTAATTCTAGTTTTTCATAGACCAAAAGCACCATGTAGTCCAACCCCCTGCAATGCAGGAGACATTTGCCCAACGTGGGGCTTGAACCAACGATCCTGAGATTATGAGTCTATTGACTGAGCTTGTCTCCATCCTCTTCATCGTTGGGTTCTGCAAGGGCAAGTGTGACACTAAGGAAGAGGGAACTGACAGCACTGGCCACCCTCTGGACTGGAAGTAAATAAAAAGGTAGGCATGTGGCTGAGGACAAACTCATGGACCAATCTTCACTGCTATCACAACGGATAAAGTAAAGGTAAAGGGACCCCTGACTCTTAGGTCCAGTCGTGACCGACTCTGGGGTTGCGGTGCTCATCTCACTTTATTGGCTGAGGGAGCCAGCGTACAGCTTCCGGGTCATGTGGCCAGCCTGACTAAGCCGCTTCTGGCGAACCAGAGCAGCACACGGAAACGCCGTTTACCTTCCCGCTGGAAGGTATCTACTTGCACTTTGACGTGCTTTCAAACTGCTAGGTTGGCAGGAGCCAGTGGCGTAGCGTGGGTTGTCAGCACCCAGGGCAAGGCAAGTAATTTGCGCCCCCTAACCCATGGATTTGCGCCCCCTAACCCGTGGATTTGCACCCCCTAACCTGTGGATTTGCCCTAACCCCAGATTTTGCGCCCGGTGCGGCCGGCCCCCCCTGCACCCCCCACGCTACGCCACTGGCAGGAGCAGGGACTGAGCAACAGGAGCTCACCCTGTCACGGGGATTCGAACCGCCGATCTTCTGATCGGCAAGTCCTAGGCTCTGTGGTTTAACCCACAGCGCCACCCGCGTCCCTATCACAATGGATACAACTCCCAAAATGAGAAAGATGCCAGTGCCATAGGAAGAGAAGTGGCTCTAGTTGCTAAGATGCAAATACTTTCCACAAGTCACTCTATCAATCAAATCCGAGAAGACAATGTGGGGGAAAGGAAGCTTCAAAATAATAATTGCACTTGAATCCTGGCCTGAAATATAATCACTTCCAACTTAAAATGCATCTACTTGGTTTGAGAGAGATGATATGGCAATTTAGAAAATGCCTCGAGATGCTTAACGTTCTGAATCGACATCCCACAGAGTCCGGGAAGAAAAGAACACATCACACGCCTACACAGCCCATTTCCCCTCTCAAAGACTTTGGAGGAAATGCAGCTCAGGTATACCTGAGTAATTTGACTTATTAAACTACACAGCTAAGCTGCACCCACATGGAATGAAACCCCACCAACCCCTTTTCCACTGCAAAGTGCCTTTGGGGAGGGGACTATGCATCTAGCAGGGAAGCAGGTGATTAACCCTTTCCCCTCTCAGTTGCCTTCCTTCTGCAGCCCTCTCCAGTTGCAGTAACTCTCCAACAGTTTGACTTCACCCCTGAAGGCATGCTGTTCCATTGCCTCCTAAGACAGATGGATGCCAGCCAACCCACCCGTGTCCCAAACCTTGTTTACCTTGCAAGTATGAGTTTAAAACCTCATAGGACTAAAAGTGGGGGGGAGGGGGAGCAGGGAGATACCAGTGGAAAAGTGATGGCAGGAGAAGGGTTAAGCAGAAGGGACCATCAGACTTCATTATTCACAGCTACAGTGTGACAAGCAATATACCCAACTGTCAGAAGTTTTGCAATTCTTTCACCTGTAGGCCCTAGAGGCTGCCGAAGAGGTCGGAATGACTGATTCGGCCTTTTCCTCTCTGCCTCTTTCATTATGTTAAAAAAAAATGTAGAACAGTTTTATAGCAGTCAGGAGACACATAAATAGCTCAGGGAATGGGGAGTTGCTGTGTGATAACAGCAGTTTATGACCTTTTCTATGACACCTCATATGGATTGCACATACAAATCTGAAAGATATCACAGTTGAGAGCAGAGCCATGTTGGATTTTTCCCCCTTTTGAAAGTGGAAAGTACAGTAGCAGCTCTTTTAGTGAGATCAGCTCTACTCTGTGATTTCAAGAAGGATGCCTTTCAAACAAAGCAAGTTTGTGGCTCCTAATCAATTTCCTAATTATGGACACTTCATCTCAAGGATGCATTGCCAAGGAGAGCAGCTGGGAGCAGCAATCAGGAGGAACTGATGAGTAATCAGCGTTAATTTGTGCAACTACAAAAGGGAGCAGGGGAAACATCAGCTGATCGCCAAGTGCCTTTCTGGTCAAAGGTCTTGTGCCGAGGGGTTTCGGGTTTCATTCTTAGTGCAAAGGAGGAATACCGAAGGATTTGCATGGTGAAGACTGTGGCCCCAAATGGCATATCCATTCTGGGGCAGAGCAGCCATGAAAAAAGCTGAGCCTGTGCTGCTGTTTCAAACTTTTCTGGGCTATGGATGACCTGATACTAATGGGAGTCCCCTCCCCTCAAGGCTAATTGCCTCCCCGCCCCCATTCCTAATGGCAGGCCTGTTTTGAGAAGTTTTTAATGTTTGATGCTGTATTTTGTTGTAAGCCACCCAGAGTGACAGGGGCAACCCAGTCAGATGGGCAGGGTATAAAAATTACTACTACTACTACTAGTACTATTACTCCAAAGGCACTATAATGTAATGTAAGGGTACAACTCACTGTACTCTTGCAAGTCAAGTGAGATCAAGGCACCATTGTGCTGATTGATAGGGTAACCAATGAGAAGTATGGCTATCGTATTTGCAATGCAAACAGGCAGAGAATAGGAAGCAGCGGTAGAGAGGGGTACAGAAGTAACTCAACTCAAGGCCTGTCCATACTTTGGCTCAATGTGGATTGTGAACCCCTTGTGACTCCTTTAATTGCCCTTCATCCACGCAGTGCTCTCCTCCAGCTACTGCTGTCCCATACCTTTTCCTCCCTAAATCTGGAGATTCCCTATGCATTGAACGTCCGAATAGGAGAGCTACATTGATTGTGTCTTTCTACTTGTACATAGATACATTATGGCCACCCTCATAGCTGCCTAATTACCCATTGTAGACCAACTACCACTCAGTGCTATGCTTGTAAAAGCTCTCAAAGGGTAAATCAGGTGCCATCAGGCTAGTGTGAAGGGTGATTGAAGGACAATGTTCTGATCAGAGTCCTGTTCACGGCTGGAGGCGTGTTGGCCAAAGTGTCATGCAAGTACACTACACAGAAATAGAATGGAAGATGAACCAACCTCTGCCAGAGCAGCTGAAAAGTGATTGCAATTCTTGTGCATGAGATGGTAGGCATTGCCCTTGTACTCCTTGCCCAGTTCCTCCATGATTTTATCCACATCTTCTTCTGTAAAGTCTGTAGTGCCCAAGGCAATGGATTCTCTGGGTTAAGCAAAGGTAAGCATCAAAAGCAGGGAATATTCAGTAAGATAATCATGAAAGATGTTAAAGCAGCCCAGGAGAGACGCGCTGTAGTACAGATATATTTTACCTGGCAGATAGAGCCAAGGATGGAGTGCTTATGGAATGTTGGAACAGAGTAATGCTACAGACTTAAACAACTTAGAAAGTAATTCAGATAGTTCTCAGCTTAAAAACAACACAATAACCTCACACAATTAATTAAAAACCATTCTTGCCATGCACACAGGATCTAGTACTAGCGTAATCTATTTTTATATTCTCTTTTAAAAGAAAAAGAGAGAGGAAAACAGAGTGTAGGTTTGAGCTCTACTGATATAGTTTCGGGTTTAAACTTCACATACTTTAAAAATGTTTAATGGTACATGCAACAGGGCTGAGTTTGTAATATTTTTTGTAAGATCTCCATCCTTGAGCCTCTGCATCAGAAACATAGGCACCAGAAAACCAATGGGGGGGGGGGATTAAGGAGATGATTTGGGTAGTCAAGACCCCCTCTGGAAATGCAAAAGCCTGGCTCATTTTCATAAGCTTGCCTCAATGTGCACTTTTCTAAATTTACATTCTAGCTTTAAAATTTGACGTGAGAGATAGATTTTTAAATGGAACTGAGGTCTATATAGGGTTTTGTACATGAATGAAGCATTGGACTGGATGCAGTGACATATCTGTTTAAGAGGACACGATAGTGGAAGTTTGGGGGACTATACAAAAACACTCTGGCTCTTGTATTCCCTGCTGGTGCTGCCTTTAGCAGATGGATTCATCATGCTACATGGCACAACTTGCTTGGGTAACATTTATGTATATAAATTGTGATTGCACACAAAAATGTGTGATTACAGCAGATTGCCCAAATATTTTCTGTCCTTGGCACATTCATTTCTGTTCATTCTACTTGGCAATAAATGTCCTGGCCCATTGGACGATAATGTGAGAAGTCGCAGACCATTTGGAGGAGAATCCCATGCTATAGTTGCACCCCGAGCCAGTGCCATCCCAAAGTCATAGATGAAGGATGTCAGCATGGGGCAAAGCTGCAGCATGGGCTTCTCACATGTGGTCCAGGGGAAAACAGTGCAGCAAGTGGTGTCAGCATGAGTAGGAACAACAAACTCCAATTCCTGGCTTAGTATTACATCTGAAAACCAGAAGCTGAGTTTCATTCATTCCAAACAGACTATATTGAGAAGCCAAGCATGGTTTGTTTGAGGGAAACAAACCATAAACTGTGATATACTGTGATGTGCAGGCTGAGCCAGTGTGTACATAAACCTGCAAGGAGGTGATATGCTGGGAAGACTTTTGTTGCTGTCCATCTTGTGTATTTAATGACATAATTTAAACAGCAAAGTGGGAGTCATTCACACATTCATTAACTACGGTTTACTGGGATGTGGGAATGCTGCCACCAGTTGTCAGGTGCTCCCCTAAAAATGCATTGCTCTTTTGAGAAATCATGGGCTTCAGGACAGCAGATGTTGAGAGGAGAAGGAAAGGCCCTTACTTGAATTTAAAGGTCTCGCCAAGCTCCACAGCACTGCCTGGAGTGATTTCGAAAATCCCGCTGAAAGGGTAGGGATGCCCTCCATAGGCGAACTCTGGCAAGGAAAGAAAAAGACTGTAAGAAAGGATAAGACCAAAGTTGCATCTGAAAAAGGCCACAACATGGCTCAGTGTTAGTATTTAAGTCAAATATCTTCCCATAACTGGTTTCATATGGGCCTCAACTCTGCCCTTCCTGTATAAAGACACCATAAGAATGTAATAACAGCCCTGATGGATCAGGCCAGGGACCACCTAGTCCAGCATCCTGTTCTCACAGTGGCAGAGGTGTCAGGTTGTGCCCCAGATTGGGCAGCGTCACACGTGTGTGTGACATCACACGTGTGCCGTGCATGTGTGACATCACCCGTGCAATGCTGGGTTCTGCACTCAGCCCAATGATGCGAGCATGATGCAACATCCTGACATCACATGTACGACGTTAGGATGTTGTGCGTGCGAAGTCACATGATGAGCACCGCCCCCTTCTTAGTCAGAAGCTGCCACACGTGATAGTGTCTCCAGAGAAGTTTTCTTGCTTAAAATCCTGCCTTGATGCAAAGAGTTTGACCACATGGCTACCTCCAATCTTAGACTTATTTGAATCTCTGTGTGTGTTTAAGGCTGGCAGTTGCAAACTGTGCACTGGAGCACAGCAACTGCGCATGCATGGATGCCACACTCCTCAGAAGGCAAGTTTCCCATCCGCGATGAGCAGCAAAACAGAGAAGTTCTCAGCCTTCAATTTTGGGACCCAGCAGAAGGTTCTACTCATTTCCAGGCACAACTAGCAGAAAGCTTCCTACCTCTGCCATAGATCTCAATCCCAGAGTGAAAGACTCCAATGCCCAACGTAGAAGTGTATTCATTTATCCAGTACTAGAGAAAGGGGGGGGGGGAGAGAGAGATTTGAAAGTATTAATGACACAAACATTGCTTGGACAGTTTTATATTTATGCATCATTTTACGTAGCTATTGCATCTCACTTCATCCTGAAGGCTCTGGATAGGTAGCAAAACATTTAACATAGAAAAGTAAGCCTGTAAAATATGTCTCATAGGGGTGGGGGAATCAGATGTAAAATTGCACGAAACCCAACAAATATAATAATAATAGCTCAAGCACAGCTTAACCTCAGCCCACGTATATTTACCAGTAGGAGAATATGTTCAAGTGCTGCTAGAACGATCACCCCCCTGGCTTTGAATGCTTTGAAACATTTTTGCATCATGGCTGACTCTGACCTGCAGAACTGAGTCAGAACACGAGGAGGGGTGGAATGTGTCAAAGCAACCCCAGAAGTGGTCTTCCCACTTGGTGGATGCATCACAGGGGAAGCTCATGCTAGCAAAAGGAGGTGAGTCCACAGAAAATCTTCAGCTGTCAACCCAAGATAGAACAGGGGATTTCCCCAAAATTTTGGAAACCAAAATTTTGGAACAGGGGATTTCCCCAAAATTTTGGAAACCAGTGTTATCAAGCAGTTTTCATAACTACAACGAGAGTGGGAAGAGACAGAGAATACCCCCATTGGCTGAAATAGCCAATAATGCTCAAAGACAGCTGAACGCTGAAAGTTTCAGGACAGACAAAAGGAAGTATTTTTTCACACTGCTCATTGTTACACTGTGGAAATTGCTTTCACAAGAGGACGTGATGGCCAGCCACTTGGATGTCTTCAAAACAGGATCTGACAAATTCTGGGAAGATAAGGCTATCCACCCTGATGATTACATTCTACCTCCACTGTCAGAGGTAATATGCTTCTGAATATCAGTTGCCGGAAAAGGCAGTGCTCTCCAGAGGCACCTTGTTTGCCACTACAAAAGCACAATGCTGAACTAGAAAGGCCATTGGCTTGATGTAGCAAGACTCTTACTCTGTTGGGAGACCCCAAAAGGGAAGATTGGAGGCCAGTGGAAAGTACTGGCTAAGCTTTCTTTCCAAGTGGCAGAGAAGCATCAACATGACAAAAGGTGTTGATGGCCCATCTGAGAGAAGTTGCCATGGTGATGGGGTGGGATGGTGATGTCAAAGTGACAGGAAAAGAGCAAGGTGTGCTGGGAAGAACGGAGATTAAAAAAAAAAGACTGAGATCCATCTTGGGCAGGCTGGTTGGTAGAGATGCCTTTGACTCCAGTGCTGCGCTGCTGTGGGGAACAAGTCTTGCATGAGATGACCATGCTGTGTGAGCTGGACTCCCTACACGCGGAATGAAGGTGTAAATAGGTGAATAAACCACATTTCTTAAAGCAACGACAGTCTCCGCCACATCTTCAATCCGCCAAAGGAGCACAGATGTTGGGTTAACTCCCTGGAGTTTTTCTACTGCTTGGCAGGGGGTAGCACCCACTATTGTAACATTATGTTATGTTATGACATCACAGTTTAACTTCCCTGTTACTGCTTAAGAAAAAATCTGCATTTTGGGGGAAGAGTTTTCCCCCTTAAGGTCCAGAAACTTGAGGGGTTTTAAAAAAAATAATTCTTAGGATACAGAGTTCAAATTCTGCCTTTATGTACTTGAGCCACAGAACCCACAATGCCATAGTGATGATGAACTAACTGGTCAGCAACTCTCTCTTCCTCTTCTCTCAGCTAAGTTGCTTTCCGCAAGGCCCTCTGCTTCATTCTCTTCAGTGGTATTTTTCTGCCATCTGGCCTTTATAGACCCACCTGTCTCTGGGTGGCCCTGATATGTAGTAGTATCAACTAGTGTGCTCCTAGTGGATATACTTAATCCACTTTCCTTGCCTCCGCCCTTGCATTATTGATGATTCTGCCAGTCCTATTAGCTCCCTAAGTATCTGGAGATGCATTTTGAATGAACACTCAAGTTCCATATAAAATCAGAGTTGCCTTATTATTCAAGAGAGGAATCCCAGCGGTGACTGGAAGGAGGGAGGCTCAACCCAAATAGCATCAGCTCCTAATTCCAAAGTGCCTTGCCAGCAATTTTCCTCCGCTTTACAAGCCCGCTCCCCTGCCAGATAGCCCCTTAATGTTCCTTGGACTCCAGCTAGAAACTAATGCTCCCATTGTAGGGAAAAGCCTCGCATCAGATCTGAGCCTCTGTGGCCCCCGACCCATCTGCCATATCTTCCACTATGCTTCTAATCCCAGTATGTCCCTTATTAAGCAGGCATTTTCCAATCTGAGCAGTGCAGAGCCCTGTGCATATGAAAGCAAAGGAAGGGAGCTAAGATGTCAGAGAATCATAGAATTGAAGAACTAGGGTCATCTAGTTCAACCCCATGCAATGCATGAAACCATGTGTGCACACAGACACACACACGCTCTTTTCTGGAGCAGTCATTATGGTTTATGTCTGTTAGAGTCAAGAAAGCAGAAACACACACACACAGAGAGAGAGAGAGAGAGAGAGAGAGAGAGAGAGAGAGAGAGATCTTCATTTCAGTGGGCTCTGGCTAGGTGAAAGGGACAGAATCATTATAGTGCAATTTCCAGCTAAAGTAGAAATCAGCTGGGTCAGCATTGATTCGTAAAAGCAGGGATGAAGGACCTTTTCAGCTTGAGGACTGCATTCCCCTCACAGGCATACATGAAGGGGCTGCATGCCAGTGGTGGCCAAAGCCAGAGGCAAAAGTACACAGAGCAACAGATACGACTTTTCCTTTTTGGACAGCAGCCTGCACACACTCCCGACACACTCTTTTCCATCTAGGCAAGCAAGAGGTGTCATCGCAGTTCAAGATCACATCCCAGCCAGGCAAAAGCACTCAAGGACAAGGCCTGTACAGGGTGTGGCCTAGAGAGAGGAGGTGTGGCCATTTAGAGAGGGCTGGAGGGCCCACCCCCACTTTAAAATGTGTGCAGCACTGGCCAACCAAGGTGATCCTATCCAGGGCTTTTTTTCAGCCAGGGCTCGCCAGAATGCAGCTCCAGCACCTCTCAGGTAGGCGCCATTGCCATTGTAAGAGAACGAGGGAGGTGTTCATGGTGAGTTCCGGCACCTGTTTTTCTAGAAAAATAGCACTGATCCCGTCCCTCTTCCCTCCAAGCACCAAAGATCTATAGTGACCTGTTTTGGCCAGAGTTGGGTCATAAGAGGTATAGTATGGCAATATCCACTTGGAAAATACTGCAGTCTGAGTAGGGCATATGGCTCTATACATTGACCCCAAGGCTATGTACATGTTAGTGGCTTTAAAAGTAGCAAAGTCACACACACTCCAATGTTTCAAGCCACATTTGCATGTTGCTGCACACAAACCAGTGAGAGGGCAGGGATGTCTTCACCTCATGTACACCTGATGTTTGGTTTCTTTGCCCCTGCAACCCCTATTCATGAAGCTGTCATCTGCACACGCACTGTCATCTGCACATGTGCAATGAGTGTCTCAAATGTACACTTCAGGCTTTAACTGCAAAGTGAATGTGGCTTCAGTTTTGCTTTTGGAGTGAAGCCATTTTGAAGGGGAATGCGTCAAATAGCAGCATTTCTCAAGAAACTACACAATAGCTCTGCATTGTGGGTAATATCATGTGTTAAGGTAAAGGGACCCCTGACTGTTAGGTCCAGTCGCGGATGGGGTTGCAGCGCTCATCTCGCTTTACTGGCCAAAGAAGCCGGCGTACAGCTTCCGGGTCATGTGGCCAGCATGACTAAGCCACCAAACCAGAGCAGTGCACGGAAACGCTGTTTACCTTCCCGCTGGAGTGGTACCTATTTATCTACTTGCACTTTGACGTGCTTTCGAACTGCTAGGTGGGCAGGAGCAGGGACCGAGCAACGGGAGCTCACCCCGTCGTGGGGATTCGAACCGCTGACCTTCCGATCGGCAAGCCCTAGGCTCTGTGGTTTAACCCACAGCGCCACCCACGTCCCCAATATTATGTATACACAGATTCAAAGCCAGCAGTGGACGTGCACTGGAGCCAGAATAACGGGTAATGTGTAAACAAACTAAGTTTTCTGGTAAACGGCCTATAAATTACTCAGCTTTCTATACTGTATATCATCAGTGAAACTTGTAGCAGAGAACGTCCTAAGAAAAGGAAAAGGAAAATAACACACATATACCATTGAAATGTACATCCCAGAACTAATTTGGGAGTAATTCTCATTGATTTCAGCAGAACTTGTGTCAGGAAGTAGCTATGCTTACTATGTCAGCCTTATTCTTCCTTTGTGGCTTTATCTCACTTTCAGATCACAGATCTACAAATTCTGTGAGATAATAATCAAACATCAATTTCTCACAAAGGACTAGAGCTTGTCTGAGGGTAAGCTTGCTCACAAGACAAGTGGGAATTTACCCCAGCATAACAATACAGACTTTGAATCAGTGTCTCCACATATTTCATGGACATATAGCAGTATAATGCCTAACTATACCATTTATTTGCTTGTTGGCTAATTCTTTCCCATCAGTTTGGCTCCACTGAGCCCTCTGGGAACCTAATTAAATAATATAGAATCACATTATGGACCATGATGATGATGAAAGAATTTGTCCTCTGCCCCTCTGCATCACCAGGAGTCCTCATGGCAGCTAACAATGATACAGACTTAACACAATAAAACACAAGCACAGGGAAGCATCAGTGCAAAATCCAATCCCTTTTTTAAAATTGAAAATTTATTTGTGTGCATGTGGATGTACCACAGTCTCTAAGCGGTGAGAAACCTCACAGCATTATCACTACAACAGATATTATTCCAACCCTTTTAGGTTTCTAGGTTACCCACCTTCCAAATTCATAGCTTTGGTTCCAACACAGAGAGCTATTCAGGTGTAAGTGTATTCCATGCTAGCCCCAATCTACTGTTCTCCTGGCCTTAAGATGATGGGGCCTCCGGCCAGACAAAGGAAGGAAAGCTGGCCTCATCCTTCTGGTAGCATTGCTGGCTTAG